CTGTGGGGGGTACCAGCTGGTCTCCATGGAGACCCCACCTGCCCGCTCCCTCTGGCACCCCTGGGGGTGGGTGCAGGGTGGACAGGCCAGGGTGCCCAGGCAGCAGGGCCAGGTCTGGCAGCAGCACCAGCTGGAAGGAACCACAGTAGCGGAGGCTGCCAGGAAGCAGAGTCCAGCCGCTGAGCTGCCCATGCCCTGCTGTGCGCTCAAGGGCAACAGGACTGACTACACATGCCACAGCCTGGGCTGCCCCCCTGTGCCTGAGCTGGGTGGGTCCAAAGGACCTGCCGCAGGCAGGATAAAATCCCTTGGCAGGCTGGATCTAGCCTGTGAGCTGCATCTTGCCCAACCCTGATGTAGGGGCTTTGATCCTGGTGCTGCAGCCAGGAGTAGACTTGTCTGAAGCAGATAGATGCTGCCTGCACAAGAGGTAACAGTATGCTGGGTTTTTTTATGACTTGCCTCTCCTGTGTAAACCTGGTTACTCTTCTGCTTCTGCTCTAAAACATTTCTGTAGTTTGATTTACCACATGAAATCTTAACTTTCCATAAGTACTGAGCATTATTGAGGTTAGGAGACGACATGCCTTTTCTACTGTGTTTCTTTTCCTTTATGTATTTTCTGCTGTAATACACACACCCTCCTCAACACTTGTGGGAGCTATATCTTGAGTTGGGATGGGAGCAGTAGGAGAATAATGGATTGATGACAGAGGGAGAGTAACCAGGAATCAGCTTGGGAATAGAAGTACAGAGGCACTGAATCTGATTCATTGGAAAGTAACACTTGAAATCCTTGGCATGTAAATTGTTAAGCACATGAGATGGAATGGGATTAGATGTTGAACAAGCAGAGAGAAGCTGTTAGCTCTGTACCAAATAGTGACATATGGCCTTTACTCAGAAAAGTAGTTAAAAATTCCCTAAACAGTTGTACAATAATGCAATACATAATAGTTATGGACACAGTTTTCCTCGGCAGCATTTCCAGGCTGGCTGCTTCTAGAAATCTCCTACTCAGCAATGCAGTAGGTTGGTCTGCATGCATGGGGGTCTGGCATAAGATACAAGGCCAAATGATTCTTGGCTGCCCTGATAAAATCCTCATCTTGCTTAGACTTCATAGCACTTGTGGGGGTCAAGTGACTTTTCAGTGGGTTTTTGGGGAAGTTACTGGTTTTCATGTTGGCCATGGCCATGTTGTTTTGGGTACTTTGTGGGAAATGAGCCAAAATGTGGTCCAACTCTTCAAAGTATGGACAGGTAGTAGGAGCATTAATGCAACACCTGTTCTGCTCTCATGTCTTTAGCTGCTTCTCCTGAAACTTTTTTGGATTGACTCAACCCTGGAAACTGCTCTAGGACGAGCCCCTGTCTTCAATTGCCCTGACAGTGTTTAAAAAATGGTGACTTCTCCAAATGAGACTGAACATGCTGTTTCCTAAGAAGGGCAACCAAGTCCAGCACTTTCATAGCAACAGATGAGGGCATGGTTTCTTTACTGAGCATATGAATTCACTGCTATCTTTTTTTGTTGTAAAAGGACACTCATACCAATATCCATCTGATCAAGATGACCCTGGAGCAGCTGAGTGCACTCAGGGACAAGCTGGTTCCAGTGTGAAGCTGTCAGTGTAGGACTGTAGTTGGAGGAAGTAGTTGGAGGTAGTTGGAGTTGTAGCAAGAAGTGAGAGGGTCAGGAATGGGTTTCCATGAGTAGGCTGACTGGGAAGGAGAGTTACTTCTGTTCCAAAGTTAACTTGCTGTGCCCAAAGACACCAAGTAATTTTGGTTTATTAAAAATAAGTTGTATGTGGAAGCAAGGCACTTAAGACAAACCATGCTAACGACAGCCATTCCAATGGGAGCAGGTGATCATGGCTCTGCCCCGGTTCCTTGCAGTGATGACAGCCTTGTCTGGAGCAGGGGCAGAGCCGCAATCCCCTGCTTGCACGCCCCTGCTCGGTGTGTGCAGACTACAGATCATGGCTCTCCCTGGCTCCAGAGCAAGCTGCCCCATTGCAAGATCCCAGCAGCTCCGGAGTGGCTGAGGCTGGTTTCCAGGGCAAAGCCAGTCTTGAACTTTCCCAGGCAGCTGAGGCTGGGGTCTCCATGGAGACCGCCTCAGCCACGTGGGCAGGGGCTGCTGGGAAATGGAGTCTGGCTGCTGGCCGGATTGGCCATTTTGCCCACCCCTGGCCTAGATGATGAAGTCTTTTCCGGTTTTAAAACTCTATAAAAAGAATGAGGAGGAGGAGAAATTGCGAAGAAACAGGAAAGGATCCGCTCATGGCTGCACGATAAAGAATGGAATAGTTGGAATTGATTAGCGCTGCCTCTGACTAGTGTCCTAGGAAGATGCATCTCAAACATCTAAAGCAGACTAGACTAGCCAGGTCAGTGCAGGGACTGATGTCCTCAGATGTCTCTATAATCCACTGGCTAGATTCAATTCTTGACTAAAAATGCTACGAAGGTAATACGTTACCTATCACTTTATGTGTATTATGGACAAGGTCCCTGATACACCCTGTGTGTTTACAAGGCTAAGCACAGACTCAACACAAATAGGAACCTGCTTTAAAGCAATAGCAACAATGTTTCTGGGCTGACCTCGGGCATATGACAAAGGTGCTACATGAAAGCACTTAGCAGTCTGCCCTAGGTTGATTTGTATTTGAAGAGTTCACTGTTTATTCTTTCAAAGGCTTGTTTTTTCTCTCCCTATTTTCTTTTTCACCTCTCTCACAATGCTTCACTCTTGCTGGTATTCTTTCTAGCTTGTGAATGTCCTCAGAAAAGTATGGTACACAACTTTGGTGTTTGAAATGGGAGTAATTCTAGTCAAGAGGTTTGCAGCAGGAAGTGGGAGGGTCAGGGATGGGTTTACATGAGCAGACTGACTGGGAAGGAGAGTTACTTCTGTTACTGTTTCAAACAAAAGGTCAACAGGCTGCCAAACTTTAGCTGCTGTTAGACTTAGAATTATAATATGGAGTAGATTAATGGCATCTACTGACTTTTCAACCAGTTCAAGAGAAAGTATAATCTGTTGCCTATAGGAAAAAAATCCTTTAAACAAAGTAGCGTGACATTCCAGGTGCATTTATATAAAAAAGTTATATACTCCGTGAGCCCTGGAGGAGATACAAGATCAAAAAGGGGTCAATCATCTGCCCTTACCCTAGCAGTCCATAGTGGTTATACACCAGTGGCACAACAGAATGATGTGGCTAGCACCTTATCCAGCTGCTTTTGGCTCCTCAGCCTGCATAAATTACCTAGATTTACTGCTGGGTCAACTGGAGTGGACAGCACAAGTCCATGCTCACACACAGACTTCTGGAACTGTAGTAAGATACCCCAAACTCCAAATTTGGAGTTGAAGGAGATGCAGGGCACACAAAAATAAACCTGCCAAATTGTGCACATTGAGATGTTTCAGCTATAACAGTAGTTTGCTTTCTGATGATATCCTGCTCCATATTAAAAAGAAATAACCCAACATTTTATTGATGTTTTTCCTCTGACCTGGGTCTGCTAAGAACCCACCTAAAGTTGGTGCTATTTATATAAGTGGGACTGTTGCCATTACTTTAGCAGGAGCTGGATTAGGCACACACTTTTATAATCTTGGATGCATAATCTTGCATTAAATTCATTTTGCAACCTCAAATAATGCTGAGGTCATATTGAAAATGCAACCAAATTTCAAAGCAAGTGCAATTTATCTTCAGGCCCTGCCACATGTTCAGCTGAAAGCTGGATAGAAACCAGTGATTGAGTTGTTACACATTTTCAAGCACAAACTTTGTATCTAGTTGGCACTTCTAATAGCTGTATGGACGTTTTTATGGTGTGGTAGTTACTTTGCACAGCTACATCTATTGCATGATTCACAAGTGAAGTTCATGAGTATGGCCAGCCCTCATTGAGTGTGTGATTCACCAGTAAATTGTGTGATAACTTTAGATGTGGTTCATTTACAGTGCTCACTTTGCACATCCGGCCAGTCTACATTTATTGTGTGAGTCACTAGTGAACTGCATGATAATACCTTTGCATGCGTGACCTGTTGACATTTATTGCACCATTCACCAGTGAATTGGATGCTAACAACTTTGCACATGTGACCCATCTCACTTTGCACATGTGGCTGGTCACAACATCAGCATTTGGGGTCAGAGGGGCTGTGGGTTGGGATTGAGGTGCCATGCTGAGGAAATGGGGCCATAAATGGGGTCATGCCAAGAAAAGTTTGGGAGGCACTGGATTATGCATTTCCTCAGTGAATCACATGATATATGTAATGTCTGGCAAGGGCCTTCAAAGTCTAATTTTTCTGAAGGGCGGCATCCTGGCTTTGCAAAGCAGGCTACTTTTTCAAGAGGTCAGGAGCTCTTTTACTGGACTAGCTGCATGGCTGGGAGAGGGGTGGGCAAGCTTGCCCATACGCCAGGACCCTTGCTCCGGTCTCTGCTCAGGGCAGGGTGTTGCACTGCCCCAACGCTTTGCCCAGCATTGCCAGGTCTTAAATATGAAATGACTGTCTTGCAAGCTCAAAATTATTGTATGTGCCAAAAAACTACCGTACACTGGAAAAAATATGAAAATAAATATGCAAGTAAATCTTCATATTTACTTTCTATTGCTCACTGTAGGTCCTCATGGAGCGAGACCCAAAAGTAAGTTAAGACCGTCTGAGAGTGACTTGCGCTTTGCAAATGCTGCATCAGTTCGCTCCTTCAAAAAGTCTCCTGCATTTTCACCAATTTTACTTTTCGTACATCGTACAAAGGACGAAATTATCGTACAAATACGACCGTTATGGTACACCCGGACACACTGCCCCCACCTTTCCTCCTCCCAGTGGGGCGGACCCAGGGGAGGAGCCGCGCACGTGCCGGGACTGGAACCCGGGCTGGTCCCGCCCCCCGGGCTCTCATGCCCCAGCCGCAGCCTCCCATTGGCCGCCGGGCAAGGTGATGCCCCGCCCTGCGGGGGTCGGTGCAACTACCGTTTTCCCCCAACCAACCGCGGCGCGCACTAGTTTGTCCTCTCCGGCGTGCCGTCGCCGCGCTGTCACATGAGCAGGGGGTGGAGCGGCCATGATGGCGGAGCCCATCCAAGCCTGAGAGGCGCGAGTGAGGCAGGTGAGTAGTAACGTCTGCCCCTTTCGTTCCTCCACCTGCAGTCCCTGCTGCGGCCGGGCTGCGCCTAGACCCCGAGTGCCCCCGCCCCACGGTTTCAAGCCCCAAGGACGCTGGGAGCTTCCCTCCCCCATGTCCTATTCTTGGGACGGCCCAGAGCGACTGTTGGGGCCCGCGTGAGCAGTTCCATTTTCCCGGGGGGCGGGTGGAACGCACGTGGATGGTTCCATTCCCGGGGAGGGGGGTTTGGAACGTACGTGCGGCCCCAGCCGCCCTGACTTGGACTGGTCCGTTTTGGAGCTCTCCCTGCCAGGACCCTGCTGGGGGCACGCGGGGCATTGGGGGCTGGAGCTGAGGCTGGGGCCACTGGGCAGAAATGGTGCCTGTGCATCCTGTTTGTCCTTGCACCCCAGTGCCTTTGGAGCCCAGCTTCCTCATGGGCGAGCGCCCTCCCTGCCACCTCCCCACAGGAGTGGGGGGTTGAGGCAGGGCGCTGGGTTCTTCGGCCAGAGGCAGGGTGGATTTGCACGTTATGTTCTCTGGCAATGTTGTTACTGTGCTATCCTTCAGCACTTCCTTTTGGCAGTGCTAAATGACAGCCCCTGCTGCACAGTCCAAGCATCTTATTTTTAACTGCTACGTCGCCATAGTAATGGCACTACTCTAAAGGAGCATGTTGCTGTGGCGGTGTAGCTGCGGCATTATGGTTTTTGCCAGCTGATGCTATGTCACTGTTGCGTCTCATGTAGATGTGTCCAGGGAATCTCAACTGGGGGTCTTGAGAGGGTGCCGCAGGGAGGAGAGGGGAGGCAATTCACAGGCAAGGGAAGGCTCAGGCTACAAGTCGGAGATCAGCAGAGAGGGGCTGGCTCAGGCTCCCTGTGCTGCCTGGCCTCTCTGTGAGGAGGTAAGCACTGAAAAGGACCCAATTTCTTTTCGTTAAGATCAAGCAGGACAAGGGGCATCTGAACCCCCATATCTGCAGCTTGCACCTAGGATATGGGCAGCATCTGAAGTCCCAGACTGATGGGTCTGGGAGGGAAGAGACTTGGTCTGTGGTAGAGCCACCCAGACTTGACAGTTGAGTTCTGCTCAGTCAAATTTGGGAACTTGACTATTGGGCTTTGTCCAGTTGAATTTGGAACAGATTTTTGCCCTTGGCTAAAAAGAAAAATAAAATCTATTAGCTTTTGAAAGCGGGTGCTGCTCAAGTTGCCTGAGTTCTGGAGGGTGCCTGGGGTTGAAGGAGGGCTGCCTTAGGCCTAAAAAGTTTGAGAAGCACTGTTATAGACTAACTAAATCAGCGATGCATAAGCTCACCTAAACAATGTCTTACTTCATTAGATGTGTCCGATCTAATTAAGTAAGCTGCTGCTTACGAAAGTGTAGGCATCTCTGATTTAGGTTTGTGCTTGCATTGTCAGTGGAAAGCTGGTAGTAGAAACACGAACACCTTCCCCTCCCCCAGCTTTTAACAACTCTGTCATCACACCTCTTTCATCCTAGCTTTCTCTTTTCAGTCTGAATATTTATCCCTGGCTACCGTAGTCATTTCACTACTGGAATCCATGCATGATCATCATGTGTCAAATTAAAAGATGACATTTGCAGCCAAAGCTCTTGTAGCTGTTAAGCCACCTGTTTTAAGAATTTATGATCGGTGTAAAAACACAGCATGCTGCCTGTGACCAGTGCATGAATAGGCTTATGCTAATCTTACCTTTAAGAGCTTTTTTTTTTCTTTTCAGATTCATTAATCAGGAGGACTTAAAAGAACATTTATTGGAAAGGTATTTTTGGATATGGTAATTTAGAATGTGTGTTAGTAGACGCTTTAGAAAATAAGGGGTGCCTAATTAAAAAAAGCTTTATTCAGCAGTTTGGTTCACTCTTCATGTAGGCCAGAGGTATCAAACTCATCTGGCCTCTGGGGCTGGTTCTAGACTGTGGGGCTTGTGGGCTAGATCTAGACACAGGTGGCAGTGGGGCCAGCGGTGGCTATAGCAGTTAATACAGCTGTTGTTTGCCCCTACCACTGAGAGATCCTCAGTGGGGCCCTGTACCATTGATTTGAGCAGTGGGCCTTGCACTTGGTCCCTCTGGATGAGGCCTGCAGGGCACACATTTGACACCCCTGACCTAAGGTGTACTTCAAAGAAGAGTAGTAATATCACGAGCCATTTATTTTTTAGGGCTGTATTCTATCCCTTTAGTGCTCAAGTTTTTCAGTGTTGTTTTCGTACAAATTGCAGTGATTTGACTCTAGCAATTAGAAATGTTTGATTTTTTTCATCTAACACTAGACAGATGCAAATTGTGTGTTGAATATTTATGTGTATATTCTTAAATCAGTTAAAACCTGGCTTGTATTTATTTAGCTTAAGTCGGTAAGCAATTATTCCAACTAACAGTGCAACAGAGACTTGAATTGAATTGAATGTCTACCAGTGTCTTCAAATCTGTTTAAGTTTATTTAAATCGCATATTTTATCTAATCTTTTTTGCGTCTGAGTGAAGACTGGGCCTGTGTGATATTTTGTTGTATGCTAGAGAAGAAACTTCAAAGCTGAGAAAAATGCATTCAGTAAACTTAATTGACAAAGTATGAACTTCTTGGTACTATTTCCAGTTGTTCTTGATTATATTCTCTGATAAGCAGTATATTTAGACTTTTTAACTTAACCTTTTTATCAGCTAATTGCTCTCTATGTTGAAACGTTCTTGTCTTTTTTTTGTACGAACGTGTAATTTTAAATTTTAAAAAGGTAGAGAAAATGTTGATAAGAAAAGCCTCAAGCCTAAAACCAAACTTAACTCAGAAAAGGTATAGGGGTCAACAGAACATGCACCACCTTATGGAATGAGATTCTTGAGACCATTTCTTGCAAAAGGAAAGAAATGAGATGTTTTGTTTTTAAAGACCCTTTCTGGTGGTAGTATTATTTGTTTTAATATGGATGTGTTGCTGAAAGACATATCAGTGTTTTTTATTACCCATCGATTTGGGTACCATATGTATTTAAGGGTGGGCAATATCTGGCCTGTGGGCTGAATCTAGCTCGCCAAAGGATTTTTATCTAGCCTGTGGAAGGACCTCTGGCTCCACTCAGCCCAGCATGAGGGCCAGCCCAAGCCAAGGTGGGCAGGAAGAGGCATCCAGGAAGAGGATGGGCGGACAGGGTTAGGGTCTTAGCCCCAATCTGCTCTTCGCATGCCCCCCAGTATGGGCACCCGTTTTGCAGGCAGGGGTGCATGAGGAGCAGATTGTGGCTCTGCTCCAGGCCCTGGCCCCATGCCGTCACTGTTCCAAGATCCCAGCTGCCTGGGATGTGGGTGTCAAATGTGGGCCTTGCTGCCTACCTTTCCTGCTACAGGACGCTGTTCTGCGCCTGGCTACAGCCCCATCCCTTCTTCCCAGTTACGTGCCCTGCCTGCACAGGTCCCTGCCTGTCTCCATGAAGACCCTGGGATCGCAGGATGGTGATAGCGTGGGGCCTGGGGCAGAGCAATGCTATGTCCCCACATGCCCCTGCCCACAGAACCGGCGTCTGTCACAGGAAAGTGCAGGGAGCGGATTATGGCTCTACTCTGGGCCCTGGTCTAGTGTTGTCACAGCTGCAAAATTCTGGCTCCACCCGTCCTTCCCACTCCCAGATGTCACTCCTCATTTGCCCACAGCCCCATCCCGTCTGACTGGCGGTGCATGGAGCAAAACCACTTGGGGGCTTTTTGACTGCTTGGGGAGTGGCAGGGGTGCTGACCTGGCCCACAACAGCTCACCAAAACACCCTAAGCAGCCCTCCAGCCCAAATAATTGCCTACCCCAATATATATTCAGGGTTTGTTGCTAGTTGTGGGGAACTTGGAGATCTAATGGAAGTGCCATAGTTGCTGACTCGATCTACTGCAAAGGTGGGATGAACGATCTTTAATCAGATGTTTTAGGCTTTTGGGAAGCTTCACATCTACAATTCCAGTTCCTCTGAGTAACAGTGTCTCTAAACATCCTGTAGATTCTAGGAGCTCGAGTAAAACTCAAGAACCCCCCTCCAGCCTACTGTAGAGGGGGCTGGTCTAGTACGACTGCTACTGAGATGAATTGGATTTGGTATCCTTCCCGGTGACCATCTGTCCCATGCCCGTCATCTCCTGAAGCTTGACTTTACTCAGGTTTCCTAAGCTAGTTAGTAGGTCAGACTGTGTGGAAAATTCAGTTACTTGTTGTATTTCTAAAAAGAATTATTTTGAAACACTGTAACATTCCCATTGTCCTTTATCGATTTAATTTACAAGTCAGTTCCCTATGTGGAGTTGAAGGTGGGTCAGATAATGCCCTTAAATGTTGTATTAAAAATAGATTTATTTTCCTTGTTAGTTCAAAGAACTGTGAATCAGTTTTGAGGCAAGTTTCTGGCTCTGCTTCTCACTTACCTTGGCTTTTGGCAGGTTACTTAACGTGGCTAGGGTTAGCAAAATAAGTGTCTAGTGTTGTTTGAATCCTAGAAGGAAAACTTTTCTGTTTAAGTCTGCCTATGCTGCTAGAGCAGTTTGGGTTCTGTTGTAAACTTTTATCATTTGAATCTTATATTTCTATGAATCGTGTCTAAGACTAAGTACACAGATTGCTTCAAAGATCTTGGGGCAAATTTTCAGGATTCAGTTAGTGCTTTGTTTTTTGTTTTACTTTTAAACTGACCTGGACTTGTTGAGACACAAGCAATAAGAAATTTCTCAATGCTGTACTTCAGAACATAATTGTCCTTTATCTCTACGTGTCAATTTTTTCTCATTCTCCAAAGTTAAAATGCTCCATCTTTTCTAATGTATTGAGAGGTGGACTTTTTCTCATCTCAAGGGCTGCTTGCAGGTGTTTAAAAAAAACCCCCAACCCGCCCCCCTTCTGCCCACCTCTGCCCAAAGAAACGATGTGTTTTATTAGAAGAAACAGCGTATTACTTCAACCTGGGTCTGCCGTGTCTGTAAAGATCATAGAATCATAGAAGTAGGGTCGGAAGGGACCTTGCAGATCTTCAGGTCCGACCCCCTGCCTGGGCAGGAAGAAAACTGGACTCAAATGACCCCAGCCAGGTAGGCATCAGGAACTTCAGCGGGGCTTTTTGGCACTTTTAGCTAAAGCTGATTCAATCAGCTATTAGATAAGTGCCAAAAAAGCCTTATTAAAGTGCCTTATTTTTACAGGCATCAGATGAGCTAGGTTGAAGTAATGCATTGCCTCTTCTGGGCATGTGTGAGGCTTGGTGTGGGAACATGCCAAGTTTAAAGTAAAACATGGTTTTGTGGGGTGTTTTTTTTGGGGGGGGGGTTGTTTTTTGTTTGTTTTTTGTCTTTTTTTTTTTTTTTTTTTTTTTAACATCTGCAGTCACCCAAGGATTTAATGGTACATGGCTGAAATGGGAGAACTTTTGTTCTGGGAATGTCAGTATTTAGGGATCTCTGCTGATATCTTACATGCTGATATCTTACATGCAGTTAGTGACCAGCCTCACTTAAGTGTCATATTTTAAGTATCAGAAAAACTTGCCCTGAAATTAAGAAACCTTTTCATCACATGGGAAATACTGAGAATGCCAAAACAGAGATGCCAAGCAATGCTAGTATCATGTTGATTTTGTTTGTACCTAGGCAGATTCAATAGCCCAAAAATTTAGCCTATCTTTATTTGCTAAAGGATGTGTTGCGTTAATTGTTCATGGTAGGAGTGCACTGGTAGAGAATTTTTGGACTGATACTGATCTAATTCCGATATACAGCTGGGCAGCATGGAGAGTGGCATCCAGCTGGTAAGTCTGTTGTGGGGGAAGGGGCACGGGAAGGGTAGATTGAGGCCCCTGCAGTTAGGAAGGGAGAAAGAGAGGCTTGTTGGGGGGGTAGGAGGGGAAGGGCGGCTTCCACCGCTGCACGCACCCTGGGAGGGCATGGGGGGCATGTACCCCCGGATCTGTGCACTGGATGAGGGTAGGCTGCCGCTGTGGGCCGGGGCCAGGGCGGCACCGAGTTCTTCCTGGTGTGAGCCTGGGCTGAGCTGTGCTTGGGGTGGGTGGCAGCAGTGCTGGGAGCAGGGCTATAGAGGGGGGTTGCAGCCACCCTAATATTCACTGTAGCCCCCCCCCCCCATAGCCCTCTCCCAGTGCCACCCTGACCCAACCCCTGCTGGGAATAGCCTGGTGCTGCCACAGGCCCAGCCTGCAGTAGCAGCCCACCCTGCCCCATGCACCAGTCTGGGGGCACATGCCCCCCATGCCCTCCTGGGGGTGTGCATACTGGCAGGAGCGGCTCCTCTGCATCCCTTGGACGAGCCGCTTGTGGCTCCATCTCCCGCTTCGCCCTGGTTACGCAGCGCCTGCCCTAGCCCCACTCCCTCTCTAATCACTGGGGACTCGATCTGTCGTGTCCCATCCCCACCCCCCTCCTTCACAACAGACTTGCCAGCTGGACCCAGGTGTTTTCCACACTGTCGGGCTGAGCTCCTGGCTGTCTGTGCTACTGTGGCTGTGCATGCATGGGGCATTCATTAGGGTCATTATTGGCCTCATCTGCCAAAAAAAGCCATTGCAGTCAATTTTCCTTATACTGGTGCCAAGCCAATATGGGACCCATGTATCAGTGCACCTCTAGTTTATAGTACTTTTCATATCCATGTTGTTGCTTTTAGATAGAGGGATGTTGGCCACTAGGGTTGCAAAATTTGTCTATGAATGCCTTTTATTTTTAAGTATTGTTGTCTCGTACAGTCCCATCTAGATAAAAGAACATTTAATGGGTTTGGTTC